TATTTCGTTTCATTTTGTTTTGTTTTTTACTGGCACGTACTGCTGACCCTTGGGGTCCTTCCGGAAGGCTACCCCCCAGGCTCGTGGTGCGCACGTTCCACTATTTATTTATTTGTCTCTGATTCTTTTGTTTTCTTGTATTTTATCGCTCTGCTAACCCTTGGGGTCCATTTTATTTTGGTATACCTTTTCTAGGTACGTTAGCCTGTGATCACGGAAATTGACCGAGTCAAGTGCTGGATTAGTACGGAGAGATTGAGACAGAAGGAGGTACTGGATAGAGAGACCGGGATGGTTTTTAATGTGAAGACAACAACAACAAGAACAACCCCACGCCTACCCTGGGAAAGATGCGGGGGCTCTGTTGAAAAAGATAGGTATCCTCGTAAGACGCTGGTCGCGAAGGTCGTGAGTTCGATCCCCATGGGGTGAGCAAAATACAAAAAGTGAGGGTGAAAGCGAAAAATTAGCTAAAAAGGCTCTCATGAGTACCAAACTTACACGTTCGCACCGTTGACGAGGGAAAGGGGCGGCTGGACCCTTCTCGGGATAAATTAGAATGCGTCAAGCACCGCAGGAGGAGGTGGTGTACGAAAACAAGTAAAAGCATAAAACCCTGGTGTTTACCCCCTCCTGTGTGACCCTGGATGGTGGCAGTTGTAAGAAAAATACACTGAAAAGTGTAGTACCCTACATACACTGAAGACATCATTCCACGAAAAATGGGGGAACTGTTGCCAAAATAACTACGACGATAACACAAACACAAACAACCCGGACTCTGTTGTGCATAGCTAACCCATCCGCGTTCTTCGTACAGGCTGGTGGATAGACAAATTCCTTGGTTTTGCTCGCCCCCCGACAACTGGGGAAAGTGGAAGAAAGTTACAAAGAGAAGTTTCAGGCTTGGAAGCCAGGTAGTGCGGTAGCTAGGGAACTCATGGTTGAGCCACTGTTGGCAAAGTAGGAAGGAACGATAGGCCGTCGGTGATCGGTCCTACGTGAACAGTGCTCCGGCCTCTCGATGACCGTGGTCAATGGCCAAACAACTGCAGTAAGGCATGCAAAACATGAGAGTACGCCCCACCCCCCCACCCCCGCATATTTGTTGCCACCTCACCTCACCCGCAGCACGTGACCTACGGAGTGACGGACAACATGTACCCCTCAGTGGTGTCGGCCCTCCTAATCACCCTCGAGAAAGGACTGGGCGAGGAATGCCACCAGTTGACCAAGGACGCTTGGGCATGGGTCATGAACTCCATCGCGGCCGTCTGCATCGCCGCCGCCAGGGAAGACACGCGAGCCCCGGCCGGAGGAACAAAGCTCCCTATCAAGAAGAACACGGCGGCAGCGGCGGTGGCGGTGGCAGTCGCGGTCGCCGTGGGGGTTCTTGTGTTGTGGAAGTAAGGGAAGCCACGTAGAAGGAGTGTCGCCGCGGGTTCTTTGGCGACGGCGACGGCAGCCATGTCCCGGAGTCCAGAACTCCAGCGACATGAGGGCTTGGGTGATGGTCATGGTTGGAACCTGCCCAGAAAGTGCTAGGTCACTTCTGAGATGACCGAGGCCGATGTCGCCGCTTGTGGAAGCACTTCGCAACAAGTCAATCCCGACAATCCGCCCAGGGTTGGTTGTTGGGGACGACTATCAGGCTCAGCGTCATCAAGGTCACAGCGAGGTAAAGCCGCGCCGTCCACTCGGCCTTGCCCACCCACCAATGATAGACGTGCCATGCCGTAAGGGGGCGAGAACCGTCCTGAAGTCGTCAAGCTTGACAGTGTCCTAGAAAAGTCTTGGTTTGGTTGGATTTTCGAGGTACACACGGCGCTCTCCGCCGCTGTGCACGGAGTCCTGGCGTCTCGAGTTCCTCTGAAAATAGCTTGGAAGATGGGGAGGGGGTCCACGGCTCGTCTGTTGTCAGGCTTTAGATTAGAGGGCCATTGTTTTCTGCACTGGAAAGAAAGCAGTGACCACAGTATGGCAGTGTAGTTTGGAAGCAGTAGGGGCCGAGTCGGCGGCAGAGGGTGGTAAGGCGGCCCAGTGATTGTTTGCTCGGTCAAAGGACGAGGTAAGTTTTGCCTCAACACACTACTTGCCGGGAAACGACAACCTATGCTTCGGTACGGTGGAGTGGGTGCCCCATGCCTCAACACCATCGCGCCCTTGAAAACGGCAAAATTGCAAACAGCATGCTTGGTTACGGCACCATCTTTGTTACCACCGGGTCGGTCGTTTGTGGCGAAGGCGCGCAACACGCGCTCCGATGCTCAGTAAGAATTTGGATTCAAGAGCCAGCGCTGACGAATCTAATGGTTTGATTCTGCGTCTACACCAAGATACCGTAAATGACACAATATAAGAAACCCCGTTGGTAACATTTTGAGGTTTGAAAATATTACCACCCGGTCTGCTATACTGTGGGG